CTCCTTCGCAGCCTCAGTTGCTGCCATATACTCAGCTTTGGTTGTAGACAGTGCTATAGTAGACTGAAGTATTGCCCTCCACGAAATAGCTCCACCTCCAAGAGTAAAGACGTATCCCGTGATGGACCTTCGCTTGTCCAAATCACCAGCAAAGTCCGAATTGACATAACCTGCTAAATTGATCGATTCTTCCTTTGTAAAGAACATCAAACCCACTTCGGTAGTTCCAGCCAAATAACGAAAGATCCACTTAACAGCTTCCCAATGCTTCTTACTCGAATTGCTCATATATCGGTTGATGAGACTCACTGTATGAGCCAAATCCGGTCTGCTACAAATCATAACATACATGAGGCTCCCTATTGCGCTGACATAGGGTACTCGAGACATCTTTACAATCTCCTCATGTGAACTAGGACATTGTTTCTCGGATAATCTGAAGTGATTTGCTAAGGGTATACAAACCGGTTTAGCTTTTCCCATGTTGAATCGCTCCAAGACCTTTTCAACATATTTCTTCTAATTTACCCAAATCTTACTTGCACGTCTATCTCGAAAGATTTCCATGCCAAGGATCCTCTTTGCAGCACCAAGATCCTTCATTTCAAACTTGTTGCTTAACTGAGACTTTAGGGAAATGATGTCTCTCATTTTTCTTGCAGCAATCAACATATCATCAACATAGAGCATCAACAGAATAAGCGACTTATCATCCAAAACTCTGTAGTAGACACAAGAATCATGCACACTCCTCATGTAGCCAATACGGAGCATAAAAGAATCAAACCTTCTATTCCATTGCCTCGGAGATTGCTTCAAACCATAAAGTGATCTCTTGAGCAAGCAAACGTGATTCTCTTTCCCTTCCACCTTGAAGCCTTCGGGCTGCTCCATGTAAATTTTCTCCTCCAAGTCACCATGAAGGAATGCCGTCTTCACATCTAGCTGCTTGAGTTCCAAGTCATACATGGCCACTACAGCTAGTAAAACACGAATTGACGTGTGTTTTACAACCGGGGATAATATCTCATTGTAATCGATCCCCTCCTTCTGTGCATAGCCCTTAGCAACAAGTCGGGCCTTGTATCTCTCTTGCTCTTTCTCCGTTGCTGCTTCTTTCTTCGAAGAACCCATTTGCAGCCAAAGACTTTTCGATCCTTGGGCTTCTTCACAAGTTCCCATGTCTCGTTCTTTTGTAATGACTCCATATCCTCCATCATCGTGGTCATCCACTTTTCTTTGTGATCACTATTCAAAGCTTCATGATAGGAGCTTGGATCGCTGGAGCCTACGGTAAGAGCATAAGCAACCATGTCCTCAAAACCGTACCTCTCAGGTGCTTTGAGAGTGCGCCTTCCTCGATCCGTCGCAATGGTACAAGGAACTTCTACCGTTTCTTTAACTTCCAGAGCTTCATCAGATGACTCGCCATTCTCTGCAAATTCTCTAGATTCAAGCTCCACCTTAACGATAGATTTATCACTCTCCTCTTCAGCATCCGCGTGTGGCACGCAACTTGACTTCAACATTGCAGATTCATCAAACACAACATCCCTGCTCATCAAAACTATCTTCTCACTTGGATCCCATAATTTGTAGCCTTTCACTCCTTTCTCGTAATCGAGAAATATGCACTGTTTTGACTTTGGATCCAACTTCGAGCGCTTCGAACTCTGCACATATACAAAAGTAGGACAACCAAATATTCTTAAATTAGAATAATCGACATTTTTATCAGTCCATACCTCTTCGGGAATTTTGCATTTAATTGCAGTTGATGGAGACCAATTCACGAGATAACATGCCATGCAGACAGCTTCTGCCCAAAACTCCTTGCTTAGTCTCGCATGCAGCCTCATGCTCCGAGCTCTCTCTAATAAGGTCCGGTTCATCCTTTCAGCTACGCCATTCTGTTAGGGCGTATCCGGAACTGTGAAGTGACGTCTAATCCCTTTTTTTCTTGCAAAGCTCCATGAACGGTGTCGATTTGTACTCTCCTCCATTGTCTGATCTCAAGCACTTAAGCTTCTTCCCCGTTGAAGTCTCAACTTCGGCTTTCCATTCTTTGAACTTGTCAAAGACCTCACTTTTGTGTCGCATGAAGTAGACCCAAACTTTTCGAGAAAAATCGTCAATGAATGTCACGAAGTATTCCTTCCCGCCTTTTGACTTTACTGGTGAAGGACCCCATACATCCGTGTGTACATACTCAAGCACGCCCTTGCTCATATGAGTTGCAACATTGAACCGTACTCTGCATTGTTTTCCAAACACACAAAATTTGCAGAAATCTAATTTGCATGTTTTCATACCTTGGAGTGCATTCCTCTTGTGAAGCTCCATCAATCCTCTTTCCCCCATATGCCCGAGACGCATATGCCATAGATAGGTGTTATCTATCTTAGTGCTAGCATCCATGGACACAGATGCTCCACCTTGCACTATGGTTCCTCTAAGTCGATATAAGTTCCCGTGCCTCTGTCCCTTTAGAACAACCATAGCTCCCTTTATCACCTTCAAGACTCCACCTTGAGCTGAGTACTTGCATCCATTGGATTCAAGTGCTCCCAATGAAATCAGATTTTTCCTTAGACCCGGTACATGACGCACATCTGCCAGGGTTCTGATCATGCCATCAAACATCCTGATTTTCACGGTTCCAACTCCCACAGTCTTGCATGAAGTGTCATTCCCCATGAGAATTGAACCACCATCATATGACTTGTACTCATCGAAAGCTTCTCGATGAGGACACATATGAAAAGTGCATCCGGAATCCAAGATCCACGAATCTTCGAAAGCGTCCTTCCCCAACGATATGGTCAAGACGTCCCCATCATTGGTCTCAGTGCTGTCAGCTACACTTGCTTCATCCGAGCTCTTCTTCTTTTTCTAGTTCTTATTTGGACATAATCTCTTGGTATGCCCTTCCTCATTACACCCGTAGCATCTTCCTTTGAACTTTCCCTTGGATTTTGATCGACCCCTACGGCTCAATCCTCGATCCGTTGATCTTCCTCTTCCTTGACTGCTTTTCTCCTTCCCAAAGAGTCCCTCTCCTAAAGATTTTGAACTAATTGCCCTTTTTCGAGTGTCGTTTGAAATTAGGGCAGCAATTACCTCTCCGATCTCTAGGGTTTCCTTGCCATAAAGGAGCGTAGTCACCGAGTGGTCAAACGAATCCGGCAATGACGCCAATAGTAGAAGCGCTATGTCTTCATCCTCGAACTTTACCTCCAAGCTTGTAAGTTCACTGATCATCTGATTGAACACGTTGAGGTGTTCCAACAAATTTCCTCCTTCACTCATCTAAAGCGAATACAATCTCTTCTTCAAGAACAACTTGTTCGTAAGAGATTTCATCATGTAAATGCTTTCGAGTTTGAGCCATACCTCCGAAGCATATTCGATTTTCGCCACGAATTGAAGGGCCTCGTCCGATAGGTTCAATCGGATCGCGCTGCATGCCCTCTCCTCCATGTCGGCCCAGTCATTGTCGGTGATGGTGGCTGGCTTGTTCGATCTTCCCAGAAGAACCTTTGATAAACCCTGTTGAATCAACAGATCCTTCATCCTTATCCGCCATAGTGTAAAATTATTCTTCCCGATGAATCATTCGATATCGACTCGAATGGTCGAACCTTTTGCAACCATCTAGTCAGAAGTCGCAGTATAGGAACGGAGAACCTGGATTGCTCTGATACCAATTGTTGTGCAGAAGAGCATCCTAACTAGATGAGATGAAACAAGAATAATCCAAACACAGAGATTTACGTGGTTCGGTGGAAAAAAAAATTATGCCTACGTCCACGGGAGAGAGAGAGAGGATTTCTTATTTCCGAGCATATCTGATACAAGGTACAATGCTGAATAAATAGATCTTCATATCCCTACTTCCCTAATCCTAAGAAGTTTTACCCTAAAGATCTTATCAGTTTAGGAAATAAACTAATAAATCTTTAGTGATTATTCCTAAATATTAGGAATATCACGACATATCCCAGTTATATTGAATTAGGACTATTTCCCATGAAATCCCATATAGATAAGAAATATATTTGAAATGCATAGCGTGCAAGCTCCAAGTCTTCTTCGATTTCCCGATCGATTTTTCCAAGTCTCTAATTGATCGAAACTTCATAGAATTCAAGACAACATCAACACTTAATGTGGAGCCTACATGATCAATATTTGAGCTGGACCATATGGATCATATAATATTTTTTTTCTTTATCGGCATATTAAAAGGGACGGTACATCACATACGTCAATCAACCATCTTATTTTCTTTTCGCAAGTTGTTTTTTGACAAGACACGATCATGCACGTAACTAGCTAGGTCATCATCGAATTTGAAAATATGACCAATTTGCAGGACCATATAACCTCTACTGGGAATGTCTTTTTCCCTGATAATAGATGGAAATATGAACCACCGCTCGAATTTTCATCCAGACATTACAAAGTTTCAAACTATATAACTTATATTAATAGCAATAACAAAGTATATCTTCTGTGTGAGGCGAAGCACCGAATCAAAACCCCAAGGATATTCGGTAACCTCGTAACCAGTCGCCTACTTTGTCTGTTCTATCGCGGATGGGATTCGATTAGTCAAGGTACTTTAAGGAGGATCATTAGCCCGGAAAAATGATACAAATAATCTCTTAATTTTAATTTAACAAGCAACGTAATTTGAAACGTTAAACATTTTTATATAATTCAAAATTACATTAAACATGTAACAAAAATTCAGGTACCACATTGAACATTAGGTTAAAGTTCAAGGATCACATTCAACAAATTAAAAGTTCACAAACTATATTACACATTAGGCTAAAATTTAGGGATCATTTGTGTCATTATCCCATCATTAGATCAAAAAATATATTTGCACCGTAACCAGTTGAGCCATCGAAGACTACTTCATCATGTAAATCCATATATAGCACAACGTTTCAATTCAGGAGATTTAGAGAGACAACGGAAGTTTAGAACGAATGGGTTCTCACACGATGCCAATCCCCACCATTGATTTAACCTTGGAGAACTCGAAACCTCACTCGAGTTCTCGGGCCGCCACGTGCAACGACATCCGCCGCGCGCTCGAAGAGCACGGCTGGTTCGTCGCAAAGTACGACAAGCTGTCTCTGCATCTTCGAGACGTGATCCTGTCCGACCTGAGAGAGCTGTTTGAGCTCCCGTACGAAACCAAAATCCAGAACACGAGCGACAAGCCGGCATTCGGCTATGTCGGAAAGATCACTGCGATCCCTCTTCACGAAGGCTTGGGGATCGACCGTGCCCTGGATTTGGGAGAGTGCCAGAAGTTCACCAACCTCATGTGGCCATCGGGCAACGATCGTTTCTGGTACGGGAAAATAAATTAGAATCCATGTTTCGGTTAACATTAGGTTTTCGATTATTAAATTCTCTGTGCTGCGATATTTGATCAGCGAGAACGCTCACCTTTACGCGAAGACGGTTGCGGAGTTGGAGCAGACGGTGGTGAGGATGTTGTTCGAGAGCTATGGCGTGGAAAAGCATTGTGAGTCTCACGTCGAGGCCACCACTTATCTGCTGAGGTTTCTGAATTACCGAAAGCCCGAGAACGACGAGGCCAACTTGGCGTTCGTGACTCACACGGACAAGAGCTTCATCTCCATACTCCATCAGAACCATGTGAGAGGGTTGGAGCTGAGAAACAAGGACGGAGAGTGGATAGGGTTTGAGCCCTCACCTTCTTCGTTCGTGGTCTTGGCTGGGGATGCATGCATGGTAATGGCTGTTGCCCCTTCTAGTATTTTAATTTTAAGCTGATAGATAGCAATCCTATCATTTTTACCGGGTAAAATTGAGATATTCTTTCAAAAGCTCTTTGTTTAAGGATGGCAAAAATCTAAACGAACTAAAAATGGAATGTTTTGCTTGGACAGGCATGGAGCAATAACCGAGTAAGGCCTGGTTATCACAGAGTGGTAATGAAAGGGAACGAAGCAAGGTATGCACTTGGATTCTTCTCATTCCGGGGCGGACTGATAGAGACTCCTGAAGAGCTTATCGACGCTGAGCATCCGATGCAATATAAGCCTTTCGATCACGTGGGCCTGCTTCGTTTCTACGACTCGGTCGACATCCGCGAGAGAGCCAAGCATACCATGACCAAAGCCTACTGCGGAGTCTGAAATCGATTCTCTACGGCACGTGCAGAAGGAGAAGCGAACTCTGAATTAAAAGAGAATAATAAAAAAGTTTTAAGTATGGAGTGTGTAATAATTTGTGCTTCTTAAACGAGTGAACTATCAGAGGTAATTGTTTATGGAATTGTGACTATGAAGTTATAAATTGCTTTCATAAGTATGGAAAGTGTATAAATTCTGTGCTAGCTAATTTGGCTGTCGTAAATGGCTTCTTCACTCGTGCTTATCATCTACATTTTCATCCTTAATGGCCAGTAACAGTTTCACATAACTTAAGCCTACAATAGCCAAATTCAGGAGGGAGATTGTGCATATCTTCGGATCCTCAAACCTTGCACCAAATTCCCGTTATAAATTTAACCTCCGATGACTTGAAACCCGACTCAAGCGCTTGGCTCTCCGTGTGCAATGACGTCCGCGCCGCGCTTGTAGAGCACGGGTGGTTTCTTGTGAATACGACAAAGTTTTAGCGAGTCTTCATGACATGATATTTTCCGACATGATAGATTTGTTTGAACTCCCATACAAGATTAAGGTCCATAACACGAGCGATAAGCCATGGCATCGTTACATCAGGAAGATCCCGGCAATTCCTCTTCGTTAAGGGACAGGGTTCGATCTGACCACGGATTTGGAAGAGTGCAACAAGTTCACCGAGCTCATGTGGTCTTCGGGCCAAGACAGTTTCAGGTGTAACGCAATAAATTAACCGTTGTATTCATCGGTGAATCGATCTCATTTGATTTGTGTATCTCAATAGATAATGTGAGATGTCTATAAGAAATTACTTAGCAATTCACAATTACATAGGCAGATACATGTCCCATAAAGGTGATGTGATGATTAGGCTTAATAAACTTATCAGTAAATAGCTAGATGGATTGAGCGACGCGTTAAAACAGACACGAAACGAAATTCAGATGGACGCAAGAGATTATTAGCGACGATTATCAAAAGACTGAGCAGTGTCTCCAGTATTCAACTATCGTTTTCTGTTCTGTTTAATCTCCCCATGAATCAACGAAAACGCTCATCATCATGCGAAGATAATAGCCAGAGGTCGAGCAGATGGTGGTGAGAAAGAATGCTCTCCATCGCTATGGCGTGGACAAGTATTGCGACTCTTGTACTGGGGCGACCGTTTATCCCTTGAGGTTTCTGAGCGACCAATGACCCGAGAACGACGAGCCGAACACGGCGCTTGTGACCCGTACCGACAAGAGCTTCATCTCCATACTCCATCAGAACCATGTAAGAGGGTTCAAGATGAGGACCAAGGACGGAGATTGGGTCGTGCTTGAGCCGCCTGCCTTCGTCAATCGTGGCTGGGGATGCATGCATGTTGAGTCACTTCACTATTCTTATTTAGTCTCTTAATTGATATTTATGGATGAATCTGAGTAAAGTTAGGTGTCCTAAGACGTTTCACCACTAAAGCGACAAGTAGAGGTATCGAGAGTTTCAACAAACACCATCTTTTTCTAGGGTGTGTTTTAAATAGAAAACGTCTTTTATATATAAGCATGTGATATCACGTGACATATTGACGTGGTATTGCTGAGTCAATCATGCATTTCTATTTTATTTACATGATAACCGCCCAAATTCCTAAATTTTCAGTAACTATTATTGACTCGGGTGATAATACACATAAAACGTGACATGTGCGATATCAATGTCAATTGCATTTCAATAACTATGGGGAGCACCTATAAGCTCCAAAGACATTATCTGAATTCCACTTGAACCATTAAACGTGGCTAATTTCTAACTTTCTTATTAAGTCTGCTGAACACCAAACCAAGATATGTATGTAGTAATGTAGCACAGTTTTCAAAGGTAATCCTGTGAACCCTCTTGAGGAACTATTAAGTACGGATCCCTCGATTTAAGGGAAGTAAAGCGAGTCAATTTATCTCCTGAAATCCGACATATCACATGCAAAACAATGGATCTTGAGTGGCGACAATCCTGCCCATTGGATGACAAAATTTTTTATAATTAACTTGAGAGCGATGATGGGATGAGATCTTAAGGAGCTGGCATTGAAACTGACCAATTCTAATAGTACCAAGCGACATATATCTTCCACCATATAAAAATGTCGTACGTTACCTTCATGGACCACAAATACAACGTAATTAATGTAAAACCAATATAATGCATCATACACTGTGCATCTTGGTCCCCTAATTGCACCACCCCATGTCATGTGACAAGCTTGCAGAACAGGGAAATTAGTGACAATCTCGGTTGTCGAGTAGCAAAAACACCATAAGTATATTCTTAAAGCCCGAATGATTGAGGAGAGAGAGAGTTTGCAATTGATTTTGGTGGGCTCGACAGACTGATCTCCGAGGTCACTCTCTCGCATGCTGCTTGAATTTTAATGCGTGATTACAGATCTAATACGTCCGACCATAGGCTGTTTTGCTCACGTAATGATGTTATTTAAGGTTACATTTCCCTTTACATGGTCCATGCCGCACTACGTATTTGGACCACCTTGAGATCTTGACACCCAATCGGTTTGGTCCCTCAGCTCGGTCTATATCAATACTTGCCTTCTAGATAAAAGCAAGACCGATCGCCCAAATGTAGGAGTTGATTATGATTACAACATAATTAGTGATTTAACAAAAGGTAATGCCAGCTGACCAAAAAAAACAAAAGGTAATGCCTCATTTTCCTAGGGTCGCATTCGATGTCTCTCGCGTGACATGCTGAGGAGGACTTTGAAGGTGCTATCGGATTTTAATAACTGATCGTATCACAAATGGATCGATCCTCATTAATTTAAGAATGGTTAGCACCTAATGAAAAGAACAAGAACTACATTCCTTTTGGCTCCTTAAACCTCATCAATTGAGCATATTCCGTTTAACATAAGTCCAAACACTATATAAGAAAAATATAATTCCAAGAAGATATTCACATTTATCCCATCCATCATTCCTCCTAGAAATATATACATTGCTAAGGTAAAAGAAGAGAGCCATATATGTTAGTGTAATGACAGAATTCTATTCTGTGCCCAAATAATACTTTCTTTCTTTTGTGCCGGTAAACTTCAATAAAATATAATGAGGGTTGGTAACCCATAACTAATTGATTAGAAAAAAGTTGCATAAAGATTGGTAAATTCATATAAAAGTTGATAAATTGAAGAAATTGGGAAGAAAGACTAACAAAAAAATTGGTGAAATATAGAAAGTTGGTAATTTGGAAACTGTTAATGATATTTGATAAAAGTTTCTTACGAACAAGTAAATGGAAAATCAAGTGAGTGATAACTTTTTTTACCATTATATTTTTTAACATTTACCGACTCTTTCATAAACTCGCAGCATGGAGAAATAAAATCTGTATTTTGAGAAACGGAACAGTAAAATCAATTTCCTTTTTTTTTCTTTTTGTGATTTACATGAACCAAGAGAAATACAAGAAGAAATATGATAAATTCAATCCTAAATTTTTCACTGCATGGGAAAAATGACCAAAACAAGTCCTAAATTTATTGTTCGGATACTAATTTAGTCCTAAACCTTTCAACTTGGCCAATTTAGCCTCATACCTTTCGAAAATTTGTCAATGTAGATCGCTAACGTGAATACCAGCTGTCCTACATAGCATGGTCGGTGCTGACTTTGACAATTTTTTAAATTTTTATTTTTTTTCTTTATTCTTTCTTTTTTTGTTTCCACCGACGGTCTAGGGCCTGCAAGCCCTTGCTAGCCATGGGCATGGCGATCCTCAGTGACCGTGAGTGAGGTGGCCCTTGCTAGCCACAGTGGAAAAAAACGTAAATAAAAAAATAAAAATAATCAGAAAAAATTGCAAACATTGTCCATGTTATCGCTGGTCGTGCCATATAGGACAGCACGGCCGACGTTCACATAAGTGGTTCCGACCAAAATTGACAAGAAGGACTATATCGGCAAATTATCTAAAGATTTATGACTAAATTGATCAAATTGAAAAGTTTAGGACTGAATTGGCACATGTACAATAGATGTATGACTTTTTTGGCAATTACCCCGTTTTCAATGCAATGCCATGAAACGTTTTCCTTTCAACACAAGCTATCTAATCACCAATGATATGAGTAGGGGTGAGCATGGTTCTAGGGTAAAACTTGAAACCTAGAACCTACAGGTTCCACAGGTCAGATTTCAGGTGGAACCTATAGGTTTCAGATGGAACATGTAGGTTCCAAGTTTCAAGGTATGCAAGGTAGGTTCCAAGTTCTAAACATTGGGAAACTTGTTTCGACGGGCAGGTTTCAGGTGGAATTTGAAATCGTAAATAAGTTTTTTGTGTTTTTTCTTAATCCATGTCTTCGCGTGATCCTGTAATGTTCCATGGTATTAGATGATAAGTGTATAATCTAGAACCACTAGTTTGAGCTTTCGTTTCATGACTTATTGATATTTCATATTCTTCGTGTGTCTAAATAAAAGTTGTGGTCAGTGAATTGTAGCAGCAAGTGGTGGTCATTAAAGGTGATAATTCACTACAATTATTCAATTAATAATACAAGTGAAACTTGAGTAAACCTTGGAACCTATGATATGATAGGTTATAGGCTTTAAGGTATGTAAGGTAGATTCCAAGTTCCAAAAAATGAGGAACATGTTCCTATGGGTAGATTCCAAGTTCCAAGTGGAACCTATACGAAACCTGAAACCGCGCATCCCTAGATATGAGCAGCTAAATTTTTAGAAATCAAAATTTTGATTAAGGGAAATTACCAAAAAAATCAAACTTATTGCACTTTTGTCAATTCAATTATAAACCTTTTAATTATGCTAATTGAGAACATTTTCATGTTTTGCCAATTGAGTCTATCTTGCCAATTTTGGCCAGAAGTTACTGACGTGGACACTGGTCTTGCCAGGTAGGACAACTGGCACTAATGTGGTCATTTTTTAATAATATTTTAAATTTTTTTATGGTTTCTTCTTCTTTTTTTCCTTTTCTTAACTTTTTTTTTTCTGGTTTTTGGAGAGAGGTCCAATAACCCTCGCCGGTACTAGGTGAGGACGTTGCGACCCTCACCAGCCAAAGCGAGGGCACACAAGCCCTCACCCAGGCCCCCAACGGCCACAGCAAGGGCCGCGAGCCCTCGCTCCAAAAATCGAAAAAAAAAAAGTAAAGAAAAAAGAAAAAAAACCATAAAATATAAAAAATGTAAAAATATTATTCAAAAATGTCCACGTCAGCACCGACCGTCCCACATGCACGACTGGCATCCATGTCAACAATTTTCAGCTAAAATTAGTCGAATTGACTCAATTGACAAAACGTGTAAATGTTTAGGACGTGCAATAGGTTTAGGACATTTTTGGTAATTTTGCCTGCTGATTAACTAAATCAATGGTGATGTAACATGGCTTGTGTATAAAAAAAGATGAAACCCTTTCGCGTGCCATATAAAAGTACATATACATGTAACGAACATCGGCGAGCATCAACATATAGACCATATCTCTCAAAGGGCAAAGTGTCTCTCTTACTCTCACCTTCACAATCAATGGTTTCTCTTATTTCCCCCATCGTTCCGGTCATCGACTTCAACAACAAGGACTTGAAACAAGGGACAAGCGCATGGGCTTCGGCGATGAAACAAGCGTGCCATGGCCTTCAAGAGTTCGGTTGCTTCGTAGCTCTGTACGACGAAGTTCCTCCGGAGCTCGACGAAGCAATCTTCCAGGCCGCCGACGAGTTGTTCGACCTCCCCACAGAGATCAAGAGCCAGAACGTCAGCAACAAGCCTTACCATGGCTATGTCGGCCAAGTCTCCATCATTCCCCTCCACGAAGGCTTGGGAATCGACAATGTCACAGATCCGGAAGAAGTCGGCAAGTTCACCAAGCTCATGTGGCCCAACGGGAACGACCACTTCCGGTACCTTGCCAACCGTCGGTTCGCTTCGTTTTACGCAAATTTTCCTACCGAATCGTGTGCTTTTATGATGCGATTAACTAATAAACTGGTTTTGTTATGCAATAAGCGAGGTCGCGTACTCTTATTCCATGAAAGTGGCGGAGCTAGATCATATGGTGGTGAGGATGATCTTTGAGAATTACGGCGTGGAGAAACACTACGACACTCACGTCGCTTCCACCAGCTATCTCCTTCGGTTCTTGAAGTATAGGGCGCCGGAGACTAGCAACCAGGGCGACAACGCCATACCCCGCCATACCGACAAGACCTTCTTGTCCATACTTCACCAGAACCGCATCAACGGCCTGGAAATCAAGACCAAGGAAGGCGAGTGGGTCAGGTTCGACCTCCCTCCTAACGCTTTTGTAGTCATGGCGGGCGATGCGAGCATGGTAATTGCCTCAGCCCTTCGCTAATGACTCATCTAATTTGATTTAATGCCTGTTTTTAACATCGGTAATGACTCTAATTCTCTGTGTATCGGCTTTTGGCTAGGGATGGAGCAATGACAGGATCCGTTCGTGTGATCATCGAGTGGCCACGAAGGCAAGCACCACCCGGTACACGCTGGGCTTATTCTCGTTCCTCAGCGGCATCATTCAAGTGCCTCCGGAGCTCGTCGACGAGAACCACCCTCTCAAGTACAAGCCGTTCGACAACGTGGCAATGATCCATTTCTACGCCTCTGACGAGGGTCGCAAGCACGAGTACACGGTCAAGGCTTATTGCGGGATCGAAACCCCGGTCGTCTGATTAATCACATGTTCAATAAGCCTCTGTTATCTATGTAATTGTGTGGCAGCGTGAACATGGCGCTGTGTCGTGTGTTGTTTTGCAATGTTGCTTCAAATGGTGTGTCCTTTCTTTTTTTCATCAGTGGAATAATCATGTTATGAGGACTCTCGCAAGTGTGTTATGCCAGAATATTGGCTTCTTTTGCTTTTGTAATGAAATCTAATTTATCCTATGCCGTTGCACAATCTTTCATGCCCATCGTATTGTTCGAAGAAACATGTTCATATGTCCTTCTATCGAGGATTCTACATGGTTATATTATGAGGTCTTTTCTCCGCAATCAATAAACATGTTCATCAGAGCAAAGTGGCTCCTTGCAACGGCTTTTGGACATACTTAACAATATATTAAGGATAATCAATTAATGTGAGACTAATTGAACTAGCGAGGTGGGCTTATCCAACTTTGACTGGCCTGATTCATTATAGTTGATGGACTTGGAAGGGAGTTTAAATCCTAATCCAAGCACTTTTGGCAAGGAGGAGCAGAAAGAAAGAAAGGACTTTTACTTGACTTGAAAAATCACAAATTTGTACATTTGTGATAAATTTACCCCATATTAATTTTTTTACCACCAAAAACCCCGAACTAGTACACATATGACAAATTTATCATTCATTAGTTTCCGTTAAATTTTACCATTAAATTGCTAAGTTGAATGACACGTGACAGTTGACGGATGTACAAGTTTTGGATTTTACCCCTCTGTTTTTCACATGTTTACCAGTTTGTGATTTTTCGTAGTATTAGTCCAATTTAACATAAGGTAAATTTGTTATAAGTATATCAGTTTGGGGTTTTTGGTGCTCAAAAAATTATTTTTGAGTAGATTTATCATGGGTGTACCAGTTTGGGTTTCTTCGTGATATTAACCCTCTACTTATACCCCGACGATGGAATTGTTTCGACAAGTGGAGTTTAGAAGGTGACATGTATACATTTTTTCATTTTCAGTCCATACATTGTTTCAATTTATGTGGTGAAGGTTTCTCATTACAAGATTTATTGGGGAAAAAACTTAATGCACCAAGGGAGGACATACAGAGCCATCTCCAACATGAAGAGTTTAGTTCATACTCGCTATTCGAGATTGCAAATGTAATCATCATGCGTTCTCTTCTCTCTTATGTTGGGCGTCGTTGAAAGAACTTATAGGTTGTGAAATATGATCGCTCGAAAAACTTTAGAAGTCAAGAAACGAACATCTTATACGAACTATACATGTACTTTCTAGTTTGATAATTGAGTTAGGCCGTGCGAACTTCACCGAATCACACTACGGTTGAGAAACGGAATAGCTTAGTACAAGGAACAAGCAAAAGAACGGTACATAAGAAGAAGTAGCAGGATTCGAACCATTGACCTGTACTTTCATATCGAGTCAACCAATTTTTTCCTTACTCAGAAATTAGACTACCAACAAACAAGCTCGTAACGTGTATCTAGCTTTAAGCGTCCATAAAGGAGCTTTCAATCACTATCAGCCTTTCAGAGGCAGCTCGATTGATGGCCACCCAAGTTTAGGTTGATGAAGAGATTGATGCTGAGAGAAAAAGTTAAAGCCATTTCAGCTGTGGAAAAAGGTACTCAATCATGTCTTTTGACTTCCTAAAATGAGTCCCAATGGCGTAGAGAGAGTGAGATCTCAATCACCACCTTAACTCAATCAAATTAATCATACCAACAAAGAAAAGGCAAGTGAGGTTATTGTTGGTGGGTCATGAGTAATGTAGAGAAATTGTCCAATCGGTCCTAAATTTATTATACTGATGTCAATCCGGTTCCAAATTCTCCAATTTTGTCAATTTAATTCTGAACCTTTCGCGCAAAATTCCAATATAGTTCTTCTGGCCAATTTTCGCTAAAAATCTCTGAAGTGGCGGTATGCCACGTAGGACGGACATGACCGCCATGTTAGCGATTTCTGGCAAAAATTAGCCAGAATGACTATTAGAATCTTGGCAAATGTTTTAGACTAAAGTGAAAAAATTGAAAAGTTTAAGACTAAATTGGTATTTGTATAATAAGTTTAAGACTAATTGGGTAATTTTTCTTAAATAATCTTATCTGACAAACACAACCAGGCTACTTCACTCGGCTTCCTTCTCGTCAATTCATATTTGAGATGCACCCATTTCATCTCTTTTTGATAATGAAGGAGTTGCCAAAATGTTTCAAACAAGGTAAAATTAAGGATAGCCAACGGAACTGTCTATCATTTATCCCATACTTAGATTAAATTTGTCGCACCTGAAATCCATCGGATTCAAGTGTTCAGTCGCGCTCGACTGCATATTCATGTGAGAGAGAATCGTACTATCATGATTTTAAGTATACAAATTTGTGTTTATGAAAATTTAAGTTCCTTTTTCCCCCAACCTTTTCCCATCAGGATTTGAAGACCTCGGTATCGCGATATCAACATCATTGGTTCATGTACATTTCAAGTTACGATATGTTCCATCCAATGTCACCTCCTCTGCTTCAAAATCAAAACATAAACCTAATAACGACGAAAAACCATCCCTAGCGATGTCATATAAAATTAATAAGCCTCTCGTTCAAATCACAATCAAGAAGCTCGTCTGTCTATTTTCTTTGATGTCTACGGAAAATGAAATGTGATGAACTTAAGAGGGTCGTTTTCGCTATCTCGATCTCGATTACCTACTAAATAAGTTCGATTATGTCGTGAAGGTGCAATGAATTCCAAGGATCCGCACTTTGAGATTAGGGAAAGATGATATATAAAGTGCACGAAGTAGTTGTTCAGTTGTCCAAATCCTCGTGATAATGTACGGTCCCCAGGCAACTTGGGAGATTTGTAGGGTCGTCAAGGGGTAAGTTCCATTTAAAAATCAGTGGTCCTAAATAATGCACGCGTCAGCAAGTGCGTTCTCCACTTAGGTTGCAATCTCAACAAGGATTTCTAATAGATGAATTCTATTAACTAGTGTCCCATACGAGCAACTAAATAAAATATATATATTGTAATTTTTTATACATAGATATGCTTCGTGACATACACAATTAATATTTTGAAATTTGGATATATTTCTAATTAAATATGTTTGATAAGTGCCGGTGGAACCCTCGTCGGAAATATTCTTAATTGTCAAACCGATAGGAGACAATTCTTTTTACACGAGCTTATAGAGGTGGTGACTCTAAGCTAAATTATGTTCTGGCAAATTGATGACCGGACTGGTTTTCATGCACTTTGATCAGTCCACGTCGTCTCCGAGCGATTTTAAGAGAACATTCCCCACGTTGATCGGACCCGAAATCATAAGGAGAAGAACAAACCCCTTGGAAGAAAAAAAGTAAACTGCGATGAACTTTGAAGAGGACTTTTCGAATGGGGGATCCATTCTCAAAAGGCCCATCAATAGTTTTACAGGCCCAGAGAAAAGAAAACGGGTCGGGTCGGACCTTCTTTTTTTTTTGGATCCTATTCTTAAAAGGGCGAAAATTAAAAAGTGAGAAATACGCCGTTGCCGGGGATCGAACCCGGGTCTCCCGCGTGACAGGCGGGGATACTCACCACTATACTACAACGACTTGGTTGGCTCATTCTCATGGTTAGTACAGTTTACCTCTTTTTTGTTCCCCCAAGAATTACCATTGAGGCGTTTTGCTTGATAGACGGAAGGCCTTTATAGCTTTTACGGATTTCCATGTATGTGTGGGAGAGTTATGCATTGATGGTGTGGATAATGTTAACTGGTGAGTATAGCTTTAGGGGACAATCATCTGTAGAAGTTTGAAGCTTTCTTTTCGCCTTAGCAGCGCATGAATGGACTTCCATAATCCACCACTTCAGGACACAAGTCAATGTAGATGCAAGTCTCTCCGGCTCTTCAGCTTTCGAGATTTGCTATAGGCTATAGCCTATCGGTGTCGGGGTGCAATTCGGAAATATCGCGCATCCCTTGTGTTTGTCATTCAGGCCTTAACTCTGTTAAGGGTTTGTTTTGTCCAAGTGTTTTTGATTCTTCGATAACACACGTAATTCGCTCGACTTTTTATTAATGAGTTCGGAGTTTTGAGCCGAAATCTGTCTCATCTCTAGAGGACGAACATCGCCATCTCGGATGGTTTTATGGAAATGAAACTGACAAGCAACAGCCAGGTACTTGCACATTCAAGTGAAAAGCATGTGGCCACTGCAACCAACATTGATGGTCGGCACCGAGAATTCTTATGTGTTGTCACTGCTAATGACTTCAAAGCAAGAGTCCTTGCCTTTGCATTCATGAGATGATTCACAGGAATTACAGTATTTAAGTTGCATAATCTGAATAATGAGAATGGTAATCTATAACTTGAGGTAGGTTTCCTTCAGTGGATCATGTCTCGTCTGATGAAAGAAATGCACCAACCATTCTTGTTTTAACTCATTTGCGCGTAAAAGTCGGTATCTGGTCTAATGGCCAGTTACTTGCTACACACTACCTAGGATTCAGCTTCCTAGCTTGTCTTTTTATCATTTCGTCTACTGTGATAAACGACTGGCCTCTCTCCAAACTAATTTTCTGTTTTTCTTTCAATTTGATTGAGGATATGATGTTCTTTCTTGTCATGAGAGTATAATTAGCCATTTATATATGTTTGTGCATCAAATGAATGTCGCATGATATCATCATTGAGCCTAGAGTTTAAGCAGCTTCTTTCTTATGTGTGATGACTAAATGTGATATTAGTAATTCTAGCATCTTGAAAATTATCGACCATACATATGATATCTGAACAGAGGCGGTTGAAGCTGATCGAGAAAATATTTTTCCTGCACCTTCCACAATAATTCAGTGACATTTTGTTGGGTAACAGATGAATGGATTCTTGATTAAAAGAGGCTTGACTTTGTAGAGTCTGTTAGATTAGCTTGCTGTACAATCTCGCTCTCTCTCTCTCTCTCTCTCTCTCTCTCTCTCTCTCTCTCTCTCTCTCTCTCTCTCTCTCTCTCTCTCTCTCTCGAAGTTGGCTTTTGCCGAGTTGGAGGAGACAAGGACATTGCTCGTTTGAGATACTTGTATTGTATCCATATCTAAGATTCTGCTTTTGCTTTTGACGAATAGCTGTATGCTTAACTGCTAGCCATCTCTATCAGCTTATATATCAGTGAAGCCGATTGATTAGGATGTGATACATTTGGGTGCACACGTTGTGAAAAGATGCTGAAAGGACTCTAGACTTTGACACACTGGTGATAAAAAAAATTTGGGTGCAGACGTTGCGAAAAGATGGTGAAAGGACTCTAATCTTTGTACATATTGATGATATCCAATCTTCTGGAGCGGAAATGATGAATGCACAATCAAGATCTTCTTTTTAGATCTCTCGGGAGTGCATGGGTTGAGAATTGAGAGATGCGAAAAGATCTCTCGAACAAGATATTCACATCATCAGTTCGCTATTATGCACTGTCGACTGATTTCGATACTTGAAGGTGAACTTTTCAGTGGAAATTTCAATGATTGCAAATGATTTTGTTTGATGTCCTTTCGTGGAATTACAAGAATGTAGAGATCTGGCTCATCTGTTATGTGGCCAAGGTTGATCGTTGTGCTTAGTATTGCAAATGATGGGCTCAACTCATTGACAAATCATAGACTGATTGATAAATTGGAAAAAAACAACTGTGAGCAGTGTGATGTTGCCATTAGGCTTTTCCGTTGTCATATTGGCTATTTAGCAGTATTGAGGACCACATGATTGGCAAATCTAGATGAAATTCTATGATTGGATCGGACCACCTCTTTTTTTTCTAAAGATCAATTCATGGCAGCTTAAGGTTTGCTTGATTAATCAAGTCGCCGTTGCATCTGCCATTTCTGTTTGGAGTTCATTGATTTCAGTATGCTTAGTCTAGCATCAGCTCTCACTACTGTCATTGCAGCTGAAATTTTTTCGCGGCAGCCAATTTAGCAGCGCTAGTGTGATGAATTGTATCAGTTCACCTTTTTCACTGTGTATTCCCCCCAAAAAGCATGCCCGTCTTCGATGCCTAATGAATGGTATATGGACAAGGTGTTTGCTAGATTCTGTTGTCTACCAAGATTTTCAGTTCCTATGCGATCGTCACTCCAAAGTGGCTGGTTCTTTGTACAGACAGGCAAATTTACATACACGCGCACACTAACACATCATCAACATATCTTTGGAAATGTGGAGGGCCAAATCTCACAACAGATTTGTACATTTTTCTTTTGCTTCTTTTGGTCCAGCTTACTACATACTGCCATTGCCAGGCGCCGAAACAGAGAAAGGGACAAATCTCAAAGGTAAAAACCGAGCCGCCTCGGCCCATCCGAAGGCGGGATTCTGATTGCAATTAGCCCACCTCTGTGTCATGAGAGCACGTGGTTTGCACTCTGCACAGGGAATTATCATCTTCTTCTGTAATGCCAGCAGCACCATCCATTATTTTAACAGCAAGCCATGGAAGATGCAGATATACATTAGAAAAGACACGAGCTGGGGGGGGATCTGTTATCCTTCGTTTAATTAACTCTGCACAATCATGGCCTCTTGGTTTCTTTGGTTTCTTCCTCTGACTTTTCATCGATTCATGAGAAATGATTAGGCAGTCTCTGGCCTTTTTTTTCCTTTTTGTTCCATATTTTTTATTTCTTGGGGTCCCTTTTCTTTTCTTTTATGTTTTTCTTTTGTCTTTTCCTCTCCCCATAATCTTCCAAAGCTTCAACTAATGATATCTGCATCTTTATCTTGATCAGTGTCTTATTCACTGGAGGGGAGGATCTTCCTTCATATCCGGGGCAAAAAGGAGAGCGTCGGTTTGCGTGTCGTTTTGTACCTGAAATATTCAATTGGCCAATGCCCCTTTTGGCCTCTCTCTTTCCGCAAGAGGACAAAAGAACACGACAGTGACTCCATTTGTCCGCATCCCCCACTCATGTTGATTTGATGTACTTATCTTCTTCTTGGACCCTATTTTTGGGAAACTTTTGGTGTTCCTTAAAGTTAGACCTCCCGAGTGTCCTCCGATAAATTGAATTCCACAGTATCTTGTCAATCGATGGCTACCCAAACGAAAGAAATGGCAAAATTTAAGGGGAATTAATAGCAACAGTAATCTCAACATCTAATTGTCTAATGTCTAGCCCACTTTCACTATTTTGTCATTTACATCTTGCAATTTGTTCATCGGGGCATAAAGCCGGACCGAGGACAGCGCCTTGTTGAAATGCTTTGCCTTGGTGCCGAGGTACTCGCTCCAGGTCACGGGCCGGTACAGCGGGGGGTTGCTCGGGTCGATCAGCTTCGGCAGTGGCGAGATCTGGACGGTGCTTGGAGGGCCATAGAGGTAAGCCACGGACAGGCGATGCCGGTTCCGATTGACGACCGCCCGGTGGAGGACGCTTGGGTACAAGCCATTGGACAATATGTGGAGGAGGTCGCCCACGTTGATCACAAGCGCATCGGGGACCGGAGGGACCATGACCCATCCGCATCCCTCTTTGAGGACTTGCAAGCCACTGGTGCTGTCTTGGAAGAGGATGGTGAGAAGGGTCGAGTCGGTGTGCGGGGCGAGACCCATGGCTCGATCCGGGTCCGGGCAAGCCGGGTAAGAATTCAATTGCAACGCGTTGCACGCCCCGGCGAAGTCCCCTTTCGGTCCGGCCCACTTGACGTCTCCTTCGCATATGCCCAATGACCCGAGCATCAGCCACATTAACGTCCCGGCTAGCTTTCTCATCGATTTCTCGTACTCTTCAATTACATCACTAAGGCAATAGCAAGTAAAGGACAAGGAATCAGAAAAACAAAAAAGGATAAATGTATGGAAATAGTTGTGGAAGATGCTATCATTTTTTTTAATATAAAACCGAAGTAAGTGAAAGTGCTGGTGAAATCGATTTTTCAAGTGTTTATGATTCTCTACACTCAATTCTTTCGTGTGGGTCCATGGCTTTCATTGTGATCCTTGCTAATTGCTGTAGTAAAAGGAAATGGCATTCATGTTTAGCTATAGCACCATCGCAAAGACACATGATAAAAGAGTCGGCTATAAGCACAAGATTGGCTTAGTGATTAAAGAATGGACATAAACTTTAGCACGTGGTCCACTTTCTCAAAGTGCAAACTATTTCATGTTTAAACCATACACCTGAGTTTTGACTCGTGTTCATGTCTAGTTCATAATTTTATTAATGAGGTTTTAAGGCGGGGTTTTCTCGTTCTAGAGAAATTTGCATATTTGGCTATGAGAAAGTAGTAATAACACTAGAAAGAAACAGGACAAATGCATGATGATCGTGAGTGGTAATACCAGAATTCCGTGTGATCGTTAGGCCAAAGTTGGCAAGCGTGTTCAAGCGGAGATCCGATGATGGTGAAGCCCTCGGACCACATTAGCTTGGGGAAGAACGAAGAGATCCGCGCAACACCATAGCCGGAGACGCCGTTGGGTGAGCGGGCCGCCCTGAGCTTCCGTTGCACCGGAAGAGAGAAGAGGTTCTTACCAGCTGATTGGATGCTGTCGAGGAGCCTCTTGGGTATGCCGTGGTTGGTGATTTGGAAGACGCCCCAAGTCTTGCACGCGTGGCCTACGAGTTCTAGCGCATTCGGGCGGCGAAGATCGATTACCGGCACGGTCACTTCCTGGCCACTTGGTGAGTTAGGACAAGGGGAGTCCTCAGGCTGTGCAGTCCATGCATAGGAGTCGGGCAATTCTTTCACCGAATCGAAGTCTAGGTACTTATGGTGCAAGTGGACGGGGTAGTCTTTAAAGGCATCTGAGAGTCTTGAAGGCATAATGAGAGAGAGAAAGAGAGAGAGAGAGAGAGAGAGAGTTGTGTTTGAAGAAAAGGGTGCTGCTCTAGAGTTGAGGTTTTATGTGTGCAGAAACAAGTTAATGAAGGAAAGAAGCAGGGGAGGTACTACTCTCGCTATTTATAAGAGGAAATACGTGGGCATTCTATGAGATATGCGAGTGGTGAGAGGAAAAACGGGGGAGTGAAGTTTATATAGAGACGGATGTAGAAGGATGACAAAGGTGGTAGGGATGATTCGGAAGAAGTGGGTGGTCTGAGGGGGGTTGAGTGGTGCCGAGGGAATTGTTGGTGGAAGAAGACAAAGGGCGTGAAGTGCTAGTTAGCCTTCCCAATTGGACATGAGAAAGAACAAAAACCAAAAAGGACCTTCTCTTGTCTCGAAGAAATTATTGGGCAGGCTTGTTTTTGCTGCCGAGACGGTAGATGCAGTCAATAGCGATGAGGAGAATCTGTTGATTTCGCCATCACCTTCTTTCTTTTATGTCCGATCGTGACGCGATTTCCGTCTATCTGCGCCAATGCGACTGCACAGCCTATTTAAGTCTATGAGACTCAATTCAGACAATGGCCACTAAGGTCATCTACTACACCAATTAAGCTCGAGAGGCGCAACAAAAGCAAAGCATCTTAGCCTCTCGAAAACCGTAGGCCATATTCCATGTAAAGCGACGGCCTCTCTGTCCGTCCATGTGCCCTTGTCTTGTCCTCAAGTAGATAAAACATCCATGCACCAAAAATCCCTTGTCGTGGCCTTCCCAGAGGTGAATCACCAGGGGGAGGCCTACCAATCGCAACTTGGCACTCAATTGAACATGTGATTAAACTCACCTTTGGAGCCACCACTAATCGATTGTGAGCCAATTAGACATCCAAATAAGATGTTCCGCGAACCCGAGACTAATGAGTACAGGGATTTGGCTACGCTAGATTAATTTAACGCCCTTTCGGTACCTTTGCTCTTTATTTCGAAAATATTTTGCATGTAGTCTTTATCCATTTTTACCCTATGCCACTAAAATGTATGGGGTGATCATGCAGGTACGCATTCAAGAAAGTAACACTCAATAATTAAACAGTAAATAGATTGCAGAAGATTTTAAAAATTTGAACGCATTAAGCAAGCAACGCATATTACTATCCATCACCACGAGATCTCTGCAAACTATTACTCTAGAAAATTATGCAAACAAAATGCATGAACGTTATGCATGATCGTGCATGAAATAATGACTAACTAATATGCAACCTATATGATACTCTCTACTTCTAATTTTTGGTATTTTTCTTTATTAACTAACAAAAGACAAATGACCCTAAAAGTCTACAAATTAAATGATTCCTAACCCTGCATCTATATGATTAATATAATCTACATTCTAGGTGCGAGATGACATAGTTTTATTTCTAAGATAATACATGCATGTAATTCTAACATGTATGAATGACCTAAGAGAAACCGTGAATTTATCCTATAATGCAACCTATATGTTATTTTTATTTTTTATTATAAAAATAGCAAGTTTAAAACCGAAGACTCTAATGTGGCCTAGTGAACTATCCACTATTATTGAATTATATGCAACGCGTTAATGCAGAGAAACAAACAGGGCAACCTAAAGTATAACTGCAAAATATCATGCATTAAAAACTATATATTAAAAAATAAAACTATCGCATGAAATTAGTCAAACATTGACTAACTTGAGTTAGGATAAGATCACAGCAAGGTGAGAAGGATAAGATCGTACAAGGCCAGAAATTCCATGCACGCATGCAATGGTGGCAAGTAGGGGAGAGCATGGTTCCAAGGTAGAACCTGGAACTTGAGAATCTGACCGATGGGAACCTGTAGATTCCAGATTCCAAAATATGTAGGGTAAGTTTCAGGTTCCAAAAATTGAGGAACTTGTTTTGACAGGTAAGTTCCATGTTCTAGGTAAGTGGAACCTAGAACCTGAAACTCGAAAACTAAATAAGTTTTTTGTGTTTTTTCTTCGTTTATGTCTTCGCGTAATCCTGCGGTGTTTCATGGCGTTAGATGATGAGTGTATAATCTAAAACCACTAATCTGAGCTTTCATTTTATGACTCGCTAATATTTTATATTCTTCATGTATCTAAATATAAGTTATGGTCAGTGGATCATAGCAGCAAGTGGTGATAATTAAAGGTAATGATTCATTGTAATTGTTCAATTAATAATACATGTGTAACATGAGTAGACCTTATAATTGACTTGGAACCTGATAGAGTAGGTTCCAAGTTCCAAAAAATGAAGGACCTATTCTCATGGGTAGGTTCCAAGTGGAACTTGTACGAAACATGGAACAAAAAATGAAGGACCTATTCTCATAGGTAGGTTCCAAGTGGAACTTGTACGAAACATGGAATCGCTCACCTCTCAATGAGCTCTCATTTTAATTGTATTTATTTTAACCGTAATGCCAGGAAAACTAGTCTTTTGTAATCTCTTTGGTGAATGACAAGCTTGTTCATTATTGTTACGTTCATTTTTTTTGTTTAACTAAAAAGAAATAATAATAAAAAAACCCCGTTAGACCATGGAACCTACCCTAGAACCTGTGGCATGGTAGGTTCTAGGTTTCGGATTCCAACAGGTAGGTTCCAGGTTCCAAAAAAAGGGGAACTTGTACCCAAGAGTAGGTTCCAAGTTCCAGGTGAAAAGGAACTTGGAACCGCTCACCCCTGGTGGGAAGGAATCGTCGATAGTTGCTGGGTAGCGCCATCAGACGTCAGGATATCGTCAAGTTACTGGATTGCCACTGGAACACCAGTGATGGAATGGAGAGCGCCAAATCTGCTGGGTTTACTTGCAAGAAGACTCAGCGATCCCAATAGGACTGTCAGTGTGGTTTGAGATGGCTGTTACAAACTACCCGAACAGTGACGGGCAATGGTCGCGCAGCCGAGAACAAGTCGAGAGTCGCTAGAGTCACTCGGTGACTTGTTTACGATGGATTTGTAGCTTGCTGCCCAATGTGTGTCGAGGCTGTGAGAAGACTAGAGATGATGGTTTACAATACACCTATTTATAGGTGTCAAATTGGAACCTTGAAGGAAAGTGAGGATATTATCCATTTAAGTCTCGATTTTTAGCCAATCTCCTTCTTTGTTTATCGCCCCCAACCATTGTCCAAATCTGTTTTTTCCTGTTCCGTTACGGAAGTGACTCGATCTTTTTCTTGTATGATTATCGAGATGCTGGAAAGTCAAAAATTTGGTGGAGCAGTCTTGCCGCTGATTCTTCTTTCGACTCATGGATTCCTTGTTTTCTTTCCTTTCCTTTTACTTGCTACCCATGCTGACCAATCCTTGCTTCACTTTCCTATCATTCACGGAAAATATCCCACCAATTCCTCCATTTAGCTTACCGAAATTTGCTTGATTGATTGGTCTCCTTATCCCAATTGAAATTCTCAATATACGCCATCAAGTTGAAAGATTTCAACACTCGAATTTCGGCTGGGTGGGTGTATATTCTTTCCGTAATTCTGCGAATCTCATCCATTCACTCATCAACCCTGCAATCTCACGGCCAGATTAATATTTGATTGCCCCCCAGTCATGCGCCTATTACTCTTTTCTTGCCAAGGGCAGCCCATAGTTTCCTCTTTGTTCCGCCCAAAAATCTTGCAATGGTCAAGTTTCTTGATATCCTCATGTTGATTGAATCTGCACAGGCTTTTCTTTTTCTTTTTAGCTCCCGATCATAATTCTTTCCTTTTTGCTCTCATTCACCATTCACGGCCAGCCATAATCACCACATGCAATCCTATTTAGGCAAAAGGGAAATACTAAGCTGATTACAATGCAATCCCCAATCGAGCCAATGTCATTCACGACCGGACCCACTTGAGTGCTATAAAGGTGTTACTAATGCCTATAATGAAAATGTGAACTAATGTTAAGGGGGTTGCTAAAATTTAGCTGTCAACACCCCTCTCATCTCGGGCCTAATCTTCCTTTCACTAATGGACAAATACCTACCATCCTCGATGGCAATGTGGCCAAATTTGCCCTCCCCTTTTGCTTGACCTTTCGAAATTGGCGAAACCCTCCTCTCGGGCACGATGCTCGACTCGACCCTACCGGTTCATTAAGAGGTCTATCTTGCCATCATGAGGCAGACGGATGATAGAGAGAGAAGACAAACACGCATTTTGGGAACATGTGGGAAGGGCATCCTTGTCCTCATCGGCCATGAATAGGAGTGGGATGGGTGCCTCCATGCTTTTTCACCTTGATATATTTGGTCATTTCCATGTAAAGTAGTAAAGTCTCTTTTGGTATTTTGCGCTTGAAGATGGTGTCCTTCTGTCCTATGCTCTCAAAAGTGGGGCTCCCCAAAAAATGCACCATTTCGCTACAACAATGTGCTCTGAGGTGTCCCTTAGTGTTACCTTAATAGAGAATACTTCCAGTGTCCCTCGCATTTTCCTTCTTTTTTCTCCCGGCCACAGAAATTTGACAGATCTTTTTTACCTTGAGGTTTGTCGAATTGATTGAACGAAACTGTGTCTTAAGAAGTGTCACAGTGGATAGGGGATAATTACAACAACAAAAAAATAGTCATGAACACATTGTGCGGATGTCAATATAGTCCCAAACTTTTTATTTTGGTCAATTTGTAACTAAACCTTTTGACGATTTGTTAATGTAGTCATTCCAGCCAATTTTGACTAGAATTCGCTAACATGACAGTCTAGTCGGTGCCGACTGTCCTATGTGGCATAGGAACAGTCGATGTTGACATGGATAATTGTTTCAATTTTTTAGAATTTTCACAATTTTTCTCTCTTTTTTTAAATTTTTTTCCATTTCTTTTCTTTCCTTTTTTCTTTTTTTATTTTGTCCATATTTCCCTCCGACGATTGCCAAGCCTCAGTAATGGGTGGCCACAGGCGAGGGTCGGGACACCCTTACAAGGAAAGAAAAGAAAAGGAAAAAAAGAAATAAAAAGAAAAAATTCAGAAAATTTTTTTAAAATGTAAAATTGTCCATGTCAGCGCTGGGCATGCCACGTAGAACAGTTGACATCCACATCAGCGATTGCCAGCTAAATTGGCCAAAAGGACTTAATTGGCAAATCTTTAAAAGGTTTACTACAAAATTGGCCAAA